TTCCAACTAATCTTACGTTATATCTTTTCTATAGGTTTGCGTTAACAGCGCGAAGTGATATCCACTGGATTTCGCCAGTCTTGGCCGGTGTACCTTTTGCTGCAGGACTTGTTTTGATATTTGTAAGACTTCCCACTCCCCTCGGCGCCGGCCATCTCGTCTATCTCTCTCATAAAAGACCTTTCACCTTTGTCATGAGGGGGACGGAGCCGTGAACGAAGCTTGAGACAGATTTGACTTGTATTGAGATGATGATCAGGGAGAAGAGCTAATACCCTCTCCCTCTATCCTTTTCCCTCCGATTCCCATGCCGTTCCTTCTCTCTCCTACTCCGACTTCCCGATTGGGATGGGTCCTCCCTTCCTCCCAATTCGGAAGCCATCCTCTCTTCTTCCCAATCCGGTAGCCATCCTCCCTCTCATCATCCCTGCCTTCTCCATCAGGAGCCTCCACCTATCCATCGTCATATCCCTGCTCTGCTCTCAATATCCACCGTCTTATCCCTCGTGACAACCTTCTCCTGGTGAACCTCACTAACATTACCCTTCCATCTTCCTCTCCCATTCAAGCTTTCTGCAATAATGTACATCCTCGAGGTCTACCCACCACTAGTCGCCGCATCAGCCTTCGCAGCCCTCGGCCTCTTGCGGTATCTCCTCGCAATGGCTTTCCCTCTCTTTACGGCTCAGAGTTAGTACAGCTACAGCCCTTTCTTTGCTCCTCATAAATGAGAATTTCCATATGCATGTAATTCCATCATGAGTTTATGCTGACCCCAAGGAAATTTAAATTACTTAGTGTATGAACGACTCGGTATCGCATGGGCTACATCTGTCTTTGCGTTCATAGCCGTTTTGTTGATGCCGATACCATGGGTATTCAAGAGATGGGGCCCCAAGATCCGTGAGAGGTCGAGATTTAATGCGGTTACTAGCTATAGTGTATACGCAGATACTTCTTAATCTTATAGGATGGCATGGGAGTCACTCTACATGTGTTTAAATTTGCTCGAGGGGCTAATTGGAGTTCTCAAATCTTGACTGTTTTTCGCAATTTTTTTTGGGGGATGGTTCAGTAGGAATTACCGAGGTATACCAGGACATGTACGGACTGTATCGGGGGATATCTACGCCAATTATCCTGCCTAGACCTTTGTCCTGCCCGTACCCCCTTATATGTATAGTTTGCGCTTTATTTACTTTTATGTGTCTTACAGGAGGTTTGAAGTAGGTCTGGTTACCGGTACCAGTTACCCTGATATGCACATGTACCTACCTCTTACAGGGGTACTAGCGCGACCGTCCTATTCGGGTAGTCACTCCTGTTTTTGGTATCAAGGGTGAGAAAAATCAGGTGCCTACGTAAGTATGTTTTAAAGGTGGATTGCTGCCAGAGAGGCATGAACCCATGCCGCAACGGCAACCATCTTGTAAATATCACCGTTGTATTGCTTCATATATCCCTATCGTGCGAATTCAGTAATATAATCGGGTGAGCAATAGCAACATAAGATCCACACGGCGTAAAGTTTCCACATTTTGTCCAACTCCGTCTCCACATCCCATGGTGGGCAAAATTGTACTTCCGCATCCTCGTCTAAGATGTCTTGGGCTGTCACAATTCCTTCCTGTTCAATATGTTGTATTGAGGTATTTTGTAGTACAATCCTATGGAGCCTAGTGGAGGCCTGGGTGTTTGTGGTGAGGTATATATAGCTAACATCTACATGTATGTACACCTCATGAGATGACATGTGTTAGCATATACACTTATATAAGTATATAATAGTTTTTCCCAATCGACCTCGGGGGGGGGGGGGGTTCGCGGCAGTATTGGTTGGAGGCCACGTCACGTCATATCATGTATCGAATTTCAAAAGGTCCGGATCTTTTGAATATAGGTATATATGTATTACAAATACTCCCGATATATATGTCAGATATCCCCATGGCCGACGCCACAAAACTTTTATACTTTTGCAATCTCGATGTTGATTGAAATTCGATAATTGCAAGTGGAGAGACATATGTACGTATGCGCACTGCTACACTCCACTCCACTCCACTCACACTCATCTAGCCTAGGTAGGTAGGTACATGGGCTAGAATAGAATAGAAAGAAAAAAAACAAAAAAACGAAACGAAAACAAACGAAACTGCCAAAAAAAAGAAAAAAAGGAAAAAGGTAGACGAAAATACATAAAACTAACAAAACTTGATAAAACTAAACAAAGGCTCCGATTCACATTGCGTTGCTATGCAAAAAAAGGAAAAAAAGGAAAAAAGAAAAAAGAAAATAAATAAACTAATAAAACCAAGAAAACTAAACAAAAGTCTCCGAATCACATTGCGTTGCTAGATATATATTGAATACAAGACAAAGAAGACAAAGACGTATTTCTCCAACGCCGCCCACCCCCCCCCGTAAATAGTTATCGATGGACATCCACAATTTGGTTGTGGTCGGTTGAGGTTGTGGATATTGTGGTGGATGTTGTTGTTCGCACAAGACGGGGCTGCTGCAGCTTGATGAGGGAGTGGTACAGCTGGGTGAAGCCGTACGCGGCGAGGTGGATGAGGAGGGTGGTGATGATGCCGTTTAGGGGGAGGACCTCGTTAATTCGAGCTTGAAGTTGATTATGGTCCGGGAGTACTATTTCCCCCACCGGATGCCAGGTTTGGCTGAATCTCTTATACCCTTCACTATGGATATGCCAGGCACTCCCTGGAAGAAAATCAGATCAGATACCAGGAGCTGGATGTTCTGGGGCTGGAAGGGATAGGATGTGTAAAACTCTCATACTGTTATCTTGTCTTTGCTTGTCACACCATGCTTGTAACTCCGAAATGCGTTCATTGACCAAAGGGTCATCTAGCGGGGAAACAAGGCGCTGTGCCTGTAGAATTGAATAAGTGCCTGGTCTATATCTCATATGTGGCGTCCATACCTTTTGCAGCAAATTCAAAGCACCAAACGCCTCGTACATCTGAATATGCAGCCATGCTTGCACAACAAGCAAGTGGGGATCATGCATGAGATTATCGGAGCGAATTTGCCCGATCGTCTTATACCGCACCGGGATATGGAATGCCGATAGCTGAGTTAGCTGGATATGATAGTGCTCGGGATAGTTTGTTGAAGAAAAAGCCTAGCGAGATGGCTTGGTGGTAGGTCCACCGCCCGCCCCGCCCATCAACACCATACTCCCTCTCTTGCACCGGCACGCCGAGCTGCGCCGTGATGACCTCCGCAAAGTGTGTCGCGAGGCGGGTTTTCCCGTGGCCCGAGGCGCCAAGGAGGAGGATCGTCGTGTTGAGTGACGTTTCTAGGCGCTTCAGGAGCTGGGTGGTGAGGGGGGTCGTGTCGTGGGCGACTACGCAGTCAAAGCGGTCTCGGTGGTGTTGGTATATACCCGTATTCGTCATCCAACGCCTGGTCGAACGCGGCCAAATGATTCATTTTGTTTGATGATGATGATGATGATTGTAATCTGCTTGGAGATTTTGAGGCCGGTGAGCTGGAGGAACAGGGTGGGCGTGGGGCAGCCCGGGATGACGCCGGTGAGGGAGGTGTTGTCTGATGGGTCCGTCGTTATGGTATGAGAAGTTGAAATGAGACATACATGAGGGCCATCAGGCCGGTGTACAAATCGGCCGAATCCGCTGGTTTTACATGCATCCATCTGTATCGTTTGGTGGTGAGGCTATAGCCTGGTGTGCACCGCCGCCCTCTACCTCGGACGAGGCTGCGCTGGGTGTAGGGAAGTGATTGAGTTCGAGGAGGGATCTGGGGCATCTTGGCGATTTGCTGGGGACGAGGCTAGCGATTTGGATGCTGAGGAGTTAGCGTGAGTCGAGACTAAGAGGTCACGAGATTGGGCTAGGAGGTACAGACGTGTGGCACGAGACTACTTAGGGAAGTAACCTGCTCGAGTACAGACACAGTACGGGGAAGGTGTAGCCGCGAAAAACAGCACGAGACTACGAAAAAGTCACGAGACTGGCGAAAAAGAGGAAGACAGAAGTAGAAGTACGCCACAACCACCAGCACGAGGGGCGACAGCCTCACGAATACCTCCTCCAACCTCCAGCATCGGACATACATCCGGAACGAGACTAATCCCTGGGACGGACGGAGACGAGAAGCTGACGGAGTATGAGAAGCCTGATGCGGAGAAGTTACCTGACGTCCAAAAGTGGCATGAGACTAGTCCAAAAGTAGATGCAATGACACGAGACTAGGACGTACTTAATTACTTGTGAGGTTTATAGGAAATCCACATGTATACATACACCAGTACTCACAATAATCCAAGCACGTTCAAAACTGATCGCTCCATGGGTAATTACCCTGAACCTTGAGATCTACCTGAAGATCTAGCGAGTAGACCTTGAATATATCCACGTCACGGTGAATGTGAGGGCGAAAGATGAACGAATACCTTTTAAAGTCGTGGACGGTATGGTTGTATACGAAGTACCTAAGTACCTAGGCAGGATATCCTGGTTGTGCAACGCATACTGGGGGGAACGTTAAGCTTAGCCTCGTAAGTTAGCTGGAGATTAATGCTCCCGGGCAGTATATACATGTAGTGCACAAGTTGAAATAAGATTCGACAACCCGATTGATTGGGTTAGTAAAAAAAGTAGCACCATAAAGTAGACTTGTTATGTGATTGAAACTTTTGATGGAAAAGCAATCTGTGGGAGTTGTCTCGTGCCCAGCCCCTCCTACGTGTGGGAGTTGCATTTTTTGAGATGGGAATTGCTATCGTAGCAAAGATCAGGTAGGAATAACCTGCATACCTAACCCAAGGGTTACTGTGAATTAGTACTCAATCGAGGGATATCTGAACCAGTTGAGGGTAATTGGTACTCTCAGAACTAGCAAGTTCACACACAATGCTCAAAGTGGAGAACAATTGTGGCCCACACATGCACATGGAATAAGGTCTGACTATACACGAGTAAAAGAAGAGTAAACAAGGGAAAAAAGATATGTTCCGCCACCGGGAATTGAACCCGGGTTCTCAGAGTTCCCAAGCCGAAGCTTGAATGAGAGTCTGAAATGCTAGCCACTACACCATGGCGGATTTTTTCACGTGATTGTGGGGAGGTGTGTGCCTATGGATGAATATTGGTTTGAACGGGACTCGCAGTCTCGACCCGGCCTCTTCGAGGGGCTGGGCACGAGACCACGACCCGGGCCTCTACGAGGGGCTGGGAACGAGACTACGACCCGGGGACTCGAGCCTGACCTGGGACGAGGCTAGCCTACCTATTTACTACATACTGTTTCGAGACATCGTCGAGGAGGACACTCTGCTCCGACAAGGACGACCAATCCCCTAACACAGTCTCGAATCAGTCTCAAATCACCCAACGAGATTAATCATATCAAGACCAGGTATTTGAGTGCACTCCCAGTCCGCGATCAGAATTTCGACAGGAACCAAAAACACAGAAGCTTCAGAAGTGCTCTCCAGAAGAAAACTATGGGCACACTTTCTTTCTTCCGAGGATATGTTCACGCCCCAGGATACCGATACGAGTCTGGATACCAATAGCATCATTTAACGAGCAATATTGGTTATTAGTCAACTACCTAGGTATTTGATACGATCGATCTCGTATTTGTTAGATGCAGCCAGGAACTAGGCAAAAAGCTAAGGGATTTCAATCTCAAATCAACAATTCAGAAATTTAAACTCATCAATCATTCGCTGGCTGACTACGCGAGCCTCACCCCGTAGTGAGAGCAAAAACACCACAGCACACTCTCAGTAAATAAGCTTGCCCCCAGAATCTCAGGTAGGACGAGACTATCTCTAAGGCATCCATCCAAACACCCGAGAACAAGACTAAAGCACCTCAAAATCACACCATCACGGATCCATCATCCAATGGTGAGAATACATCCAATAGATGGCAAGTCTCCGTGAATTCTTAAAACCAGCACAGATTCACCGAGCATCTCATCTTTGATGATGAGGCACAAGGCTAATGATGCAACTCGCCATTTATTCCTCTTTATGTTAAAGCAATACAATTCGCTATGGCGACCACCAGCGCCACGGTCTCCCTTGAAATCCCCTGAATAGCGCTTCTTAAATCCACGTACACCAAAAAAAAACCCCTGCACGCTAGGATATCATGGATGGGGATCTCGATCGTCCAGCACAATTATATTTCGAGAAGATCCGATCGATGCACCAACAAGACATCTAATGGTACAGTTTCAGTGCTAGAATGTGGGTGAATGGGAGCTATCCTCCATGGAGAACCCACCTCGTACCTGGAAGTGTGGTGAATGGGCACGAGACTAGGTGAATGGTCGGTTTTCTTGGACTCGAATCGGCAATCTCCGAGCCCAACGAGAACTCACTTCGTGCCTGGGGCGTGTCCAAATTCTGCAATGACATTCCGTTATGGTTGTAATCTGGCATGGGATGAAGATGAGGACGGAACAAGTTCCGCAAATAGCCGTCATACTCGAGTATCCTAAGCTATATCAAATCAGCCTGATGACAGTTCTTCGATGCATATGCCCCATTACGCCAGCTTCTAGAAAACTGTTCCTTAGGCACCTTTTCACAGTATGACATGGAAACCGGGTTTGGCCGGAAGAGGTTGCTATCAAATTGTGAATCTAGATGCCATTACGGAAGTGTACTGATTTGAATGTTGTGCAATGCAGGCAGCGGCCCCACACTCGGCTAGTATACGTAATTCGGTCCGGATTTTAATACATATGCACAAACTCTCTCGCAATTATTGCTGATCCAGGAAGACAGGGGAAAGCTGTACCTGAGGAGGTTGCTGGTGCACACTTGTTGAGTGGTGGGTCGGTTCAAAAGATCCCCCAAGTACGTACTCCCACTGGTGTGATGGTGGGCGAATCACGGTTTGCAATATGGTGATAGTATGCTTGATGGCTGTTGGCGGTGCTTTCAAGTCCACTATTTCATGTTGAGGCATCGTAGAGAAAATAGCTAATACGAGTTCGGAACGTTAAGGGGGTACGTCTATCAAATCAAAAAACAATTCTGAACGCCAATACCAGTATTCAAACTGGTGTCCTCTAAAGATACTATCAACTTCCACAAACAATTAGGCATATTGCTTGAGGTTCAGGCAATTTTCAGGTGCGGGTACTTCCAGTACAGTGGGCCACATTACAACATGGCTATCACTACGTCGTATTTCCTAGATACATCCAGGTTTGAATTGCCTGGCACTATCGGAACAGACATATTCTAAAACATTTGGAGTTCCTAAATACGTAATAGGGATAAGTCCAATCAGACGACGACGCATCACAAATTCTCGCTAATTGTTGTACAAGACAGCCTATCATCATTCACAACGTCAACAATTTCGATTTATTCTGCTTTTCAGAAGCAATACATTTACAATTTAGTCGAATCCGCCAACTTTGGGTGCTATAGCCGTCAGGCAATCGACACTGTTCAAATTCAAGCACGTCAACTTCTTTTCTTCTTTTTCATTTCCTGCTGGCTGCCCCTATTTTTTTTTTTTACATTAATATATTTCAAAACTTCCTGCGCAGTTGGACGGAAGATTACATCCCGCCTGCCATATGTGTCTCTCCATTTAAAATTCCCGCTTTGTGCCACTTGGATACTAAATCATTTTCACACCTCTCACCGGCGCTAATATTCGCAATCATTGCTTCCCGCCCGAACCTATCGCTACAGTTGATTCTGGCTATACTGAAACGCCATATACCGCACACCGTGGTATTACGGCCGATTTCTAGTTTTTTTTGCGTCGTCCTACTTCTCTCACCAGAATCCACTTAATATACCGAATTATCGCACCGCACAATCAATTTCATCTTCAAACCCCTGTTCACCATACAAAATAACCTGCTATAATGAAAAAGTATAGCAAGTATACATGACAAAGCAGCTACGTTTACACTAAATCTGTTTCCTTTAGCTTGGATTGAGACTAGTGTCTGAAATTGTCTGAAGGTTACCCCCGCTGGGCCTACCAAACTGCTGCTCTCCTGCCCCCAAACTGCTAGCTCCTTTTATTGTATCGAATGTTTGCTATATCGCACCAATTTGGGCGGATTTTTGCCATTCGGTATAGCCAGAATCAACTGTACCTAATTCATACCATCCACCATACCAGGCTAATCCACCATCCGACAACTGCACTTCTACTCTAGGCCACCCGCAGCGGGCCGGTCCCGCTCACACCTCAAACTAATTCGACGGAATCCTCAATTAGCAAATCACAAGCGCTCGCACAGTATGGAGAGGATGAGCAAGGGGTTCGAAATCTTTCATGCTTAACCGCCCCGAGAATGGTTGCGTTTTAAACATATGATATATCCCCGAAAAATCAGTCGGATAGCTAGGTTTGCTTCAGCTGATAATATATTGAACATATTTTCATGCCCATCCATTAACACACTGTTCATTAGGTTTGAGCAGCTCTTCGACGCTCACACAGATAGCCAGCTCAGCAATCTACTTCACTAGGTAAGTAAGTAGGTACGATTGTTCGGCGCCTTGTGGTTGGTGAGATACATACAGCATCTTCTTATAGGCTACCCAATCTCGAGCGAGTGTGAGATGATTGGGCTTAATGTGACTGACTGTGTAGCACCACGCTCAAGGCACATATCAATCAGAGGGGCACAATTGCGCAATATGTATGATGTTGAAGGATGATGATGATGTTGGCGATAGCTTTGGGACTGGCGTGGGTCGACAACTGATGATGTGGCATTGTTGAGCAGCATGCACGTGCAACGCCTTTAATATTTGCTTGAGCACGTGTAGGGCTTTTCACTTGCATGGAACTTCCCTCGACTCACGAGAACACATCACAGATAGAGGTCGGTGTGTCACATCTCAGAATTAATATTTGGGGGCGACGTCAGCGCCTATGCGCTTTGACTTTTTATCTGATGGTGGATAAGGAGATGTATTTTTGAAATTTTCAAAACATGCGATTTTACAACAAGAACAGGGCAACATGCGGCAAGAGATCAGAGATCATCGACATATCTCTACCCACCAACCTACCTAAGTTGTCAAATTCGAATGATCGGAGTACATATTCTTTGACATGGACTACAGACAGCAGAATGAGTTCAGCTTACCCCAATACCCCCCAAACTTATTGCTTGAGGCACCAGGTATGTAGTATCTCATTCCGCTTCATGATCATGAATATCGTGCATGCAAAACGTTCAAAAGCGGTAAGACAGACGTCGACCTTCCTAGCCACATGATCAACTCCAGGTGTCTCGGAAGGGAAGGACTACAGTGGCCTAAGCCTTGGAGGATACCAGGTATACTCGAGTAGGTACGGAGGTCCCTACCAAAAGTATTTGCGGGCGCTCGGGTGGGCGGTCGGGCCTTGACAGGGATGTGTTGTTGTAGCTCTGTACCTGGCACCCAACGATGGATTTGTTAAAAGTGTCTTGAAATGTCATTGAGATGTTCTCGTTCAATAAGCTGGCCTTGCGAGTTCTCTTGCGTTGAAGGTGTCTTGACATATCATTGAGCTGTCCTTACGGGTCATTGTTCTTGTGTTATTGTCTTCTTGAGTCATGCACCTATGCTCGTTGGTCATTTAAATTTACTTCCTCATTATTTACTACGTGTGTTTGCCTTTACTATCCGACCTTCCTTCACGATATTCATTTCCACCTTCTAACTCAATGACTTGTTGGATGTGCCTTATAATACGTTCAATCCAACCTTGAATTCTACTTTGTTCAAGTAAATCCCACTGCTTTTTCCAATTTTTTTCTGCATCTGCTCGGGATGTTGGTGCTCCTTTTTTAGTGGTTTCTTGCTTCATCCACATCCAACATGGCTTAATTATATTCAAATTGGGAGAATTTCCTGGCCATAGCAAGCGCTCAATCTCAAAAATGCTACATGTTTGTCCAATATAGAAATGAGCATGCGAGGGTGCTTTGTCTTCTTGAACAATCATTGCCTGGCCTGGCAATTCCTGTGTACATTTCTAGAATTAAAAATATTAGAATGTAATTTTTGAATGATATGTTTTAGACACGGAAGTCAAAAAAATAGTAGAATTGCAT